GGCATAAATTTCTTGAAAGGTTTCGCGCGGTGGATGAGTCGACGAATGACATTCGGTTCCCACGGGTATAGGCGCCACACACACACACACACACACACACACACACACACACACGAGTTGCCATTATTCCTTCGAGCTTCTGCTGGCACTTCTAGAGTGGTCAATAAACTTGGGTGCGGCCGTCTGCAAATAACCCCCTTCCCCCTCCCCCTTCCCCTCCGATGCATCTACGTACGACATGAGCCATTCAAGCCTGTTAGCGCCATTTGTTTGTCCCCGGGGGGGCTGGGAGATAGAGAGGGAAGGAGGGGAGGGGGTGGAGGTGAGAGGAGGGGAGGGGAGGGGTAGCAGTGTGCCCGAGGTGACCGGCCGTGTGTTGTGGGTCTGGCTGCGCTGGCTGCAGCGGGTGCGTCCTTGCACGAGAAAGGCGCCGCGCGTGCCAAAACAAAGACAACAAAAGCAACAACAACAACAACAACAACAAAAAAAATTCAGATCCGCGCCTTGGCGGCTGCAGCGCCACACTTCCTGGAATGTTGCACGCGTCCCCGGCGGCGTTCTCCCCCCGCGCCTGCACTGTCGCGGGGTCGCGGGGGAGTGACCTTTGACCTTCGACCTTCACAGAAGGGCCGAAAGTTGTTGCAAGGCCTGGAATGGCCGATTTCTGTTGAAGACATTTGTTCTGCACTCAAATAAATGGTTGCCGTTCGGTGTACGGCGTGATCTTTGAAGCGTATAAGAAACTAAAAACTGCCTGGCAGGGGAAAATAAAATAAAATGAGTGCGGATGTTGGATAGTTTCGTGAACCCGACGGGCGGCTAGCTGCAGCCTTTCGCCGACGCGCACGCGCGCAGCGGACTGGTTTCGAGAGTCGTTTTCGTCGCTCTGCCTCCCTCGCACTCATGGGGCGTGCCGTCGCAGGTGCGAGAGAGCCAGAGCGACGAAAACGACTCTCGGAATGAGTCCGCCGAAGCGTGTCTCCCTCGGCGCGGCGCTCCGCGGCGAAGATGCATCGCTTTGGGGCCTTAGCGTCTTTGCGCGTCTTTGCCCGCCTCGCCCGCTTCGCCTGCTTTGCGTCCGCCGCACGTATTTATAACCTGCCACGTTCGTCAGCACGCCGCCTCTCGTCCCGCGCCTCGGCGAGCTTTACAGCGTGTTACATCGCGGTTACAGTGTTGCGGAGGAGGGAGGGAGAGAGAGAGAGAGAGAGAGAGAGAGAGAGAGAGAGAGGAGAGAGAGAGAGAGAGGAGAGGGAAGAGAGATGGTTTTTTTTCCCAAAAAATTGTGGGGTGTGTGTGTCCGTCCGTCCGCCGCTGACTACCTTGCTTTACAAAATATTTACGAGTTGGCCCCGTGTTTTCCAGACTCCCGTCCAAGGAGGTAATCCATCGTGATCCTCGCCGCGTCTGTCTGTCTGTCCGTCTGTCCGTCCCTTTTCCGTCCCGTTTGGTTGGCCGGGGGAAGAAAGGCGGGAGGACAGACGGGATGAAGGGGCGTGGGTAAAAGGGGGCCCGGCGCCGCCCAGAGCCATACATTTTAAACTTGCCCCACTGCAATGAATATGCAGGCGGCGTGATGCACTGCGATGCACTGAGAGGCTTATCGCGTGCAGCGCGCCGAGGGACACGTACCTCCGCCGTGGCCGAGCGTGCTGGCGCGCCGCACCCCATCTTCAAAGGACCGGGTTCGAATCCCGCCGCCCGCGCGCCGAATTTCGGGGAACGGAACGGATCGCAAATCTGTAATGAGAAGAGCGGTTCGTCACTCTGTCTCTCTCGCACCTCTTTGGGAGTGGCCCATGAGTGCGAGAGAGGCAGCGTGCGGTGGTTGGAAGAAAACGACCTCGATGCATCGGAGCGATTCTCACTGCGGGGCAAAGGCGGTGCAGTGCAGAGCACTTGGTGTGGGGGCATGGGGGTCACCTTAATGAGCGCGCACACACACACACACACGAACACACGCACGCATCGACAGGCCGACCCTGACCCTGCGGCGCGCGCCTTAGCGCCACGCCGCGCTGCGGGGGCGGCGGGGGGGCGGGGGGGGGGGGGCGGCGGGGGGCGGCGGGGGCGGTGCAGGGGACGGGGCCCGCTGCAAACAATGGTAGCACAACGCTCTACTGGGCCCGGGGCTGTGTAGGGAGGGGCGCTTACAGCTCGTTGGGGGCTCAGCTCGCCGCGGTGGTCGCGAGGGGTGGGGGTGGGGGGTGGGGGCACCCTGAGGTGGCGCGGGGTGGCGGAGGCGGCCCGCGGTATGGCGGAGGTCCAAGTCGTGTCCGGCAGGCCTAGGCAGGCCGACGCCGCGGCGCGTGCAGACGCCCCGCCTCGCCCCGCCCCGCCCCGCCCCGCCCCGCCCCGCCCGCCCCGCCCCGCCACGCCCCGCCCCGCTATAAAACGAACTCCATTTGAGACGATGAGAGGGTGCCTGGGAGGAACCTCTCTGTCGCTGCATTTTTATTGTGATTTTCACAGCCTTTCTTCCGAACCGCTACATCGCGTCTACGGCCGTGGACGATCGTCGCGCACCCCGAAACAGACGCACCTCCACTGCTTCATTAGCAACCGACTTGACTCGGTTTCACCAGCCGAACTGCCCGGGGCACAACACCTCTCCGCGAACCGCGGCACCGCGGGGGGTCGCCGTGTCCTGCCGTGTCCCGAACCGCGCGGCTCGGTCCGCCCCGCCCGCCACGCGCCGCCACCGCCGCTAACGTGATTTGCGGCCAATTATGCAAAAATTTGCCAAGCGGTCCATCTGGTCCGGTCGGTTTGTGTGTGTGTGTGTGTGTGTGTGTGTGTGTGTGTGTAGGTGTGTGAGTGTCTGTGTGTCTGTGTTAGTGCGTTGGCTGCGGGCGCCTTGAGACTTTGTATGAAATGGCGGGAAAACGGTCCAGGCCCGCGGTCGGCCTGCTCTAATTGATAGGTATGTTCCCCGGCTGTGTTGACAGCGCTGCCTCCCCTCCCCCTCCCCCTCCCCCACCCCCTCCCCCGACGCGGCCCCCGCGCTGCAGTGGACCGCATCCGCGCTGCCCGCCGGGCCGAGGGCCGGGCTACCTCTTGATCGATGGCGCGAATGTGTATCACATTTTTCTCTTTTTCCCTTCCTCTTCTAGGCGGCTCAAGAAAAATAACGTCTTGATATTTTTCGACATTTCTTTTCGTCACGACAGAGAAAAAGTCATCAAGACAAGTTTGTTATGCAGCGAAGGTAAAGGCCCGCTTGTCTAATCGGGCTGGCCAACGTACGCACGAAATAAATGAATGGACTCTGCAATGAGAAGGGAATAAATAGAAAAATAATTTATTGTCTCCTTTTATGGTGTACAGGTCGCGTCAGGTCTACTCTCCAACAAACTTCTTCTCCTTCTCCTCCTCGCCTCCCATCATGACGGCTAGGAACTCTGCAAAAGAGAGAGAGAGAGAGAGGTAGAGAGAGAGAGAGAGAGAGAGAGAGAGAGGAGAGAGGGAGAGAGAGAGCGGGGTTGAATTTGTTGCAAAGCTCTGCTGCAGTCTGCGGCGCTCACGGCTACGGCCCAAGTCGTCTCCCGTCTCTGTCGCTCCCGCTGCAGCGCGCTGGGCCGCCGCGAGTGCGACAGAGACGGAGCGTGCCGGGGTGGCGCTTCGGACGCACCCCTGCGACGGGGGCCTTGAAATGCATCGGCCGCGCCGCTGCCTCGGGCTACAGGTGCTGCACAGTGGGCCAGAAGGCCGGTGGAGGCGGCCGAAACTCTCGACGCGTTTTGAGCTCCTGAGTCGCTAAACAGGACTCGAATCGAACGTGTGACCCCACCAATGGATTGCTCTCCGAACGAGGAATCCATTGGTGGGGTCACACGTTCGGTTCGAGTCCCGTTTAGCGACTCTGGAGCTCAAAACGCGTCGAGAGTTTTGGCCGCCTCCACCGGCCTTCTGGCCCACTGTGTGCTGGCGCTAGCGCGCTAGCAGACCGTTTCGTCGCTCTGTCTCTGTCACACTCACGGCGCGGCCCGCAGGGGTGCGAGAGAGACAGCGCGACGAGACGGAGCGGAGTGAGTGAGTCGGATCGGGTAAATTCGCTCACCTTCGAAGTCCACAGTTCCAGAGCCGTCGGCGTCGATTTCCTCGATGATCTGGTCCATGTCGCTGACGCCGATCGTGTTGTCCAGCTCCCACAGGATCTCCCGCAGCTGGTCCGTCGTGATGTAGCCGTTGCCTGCGACAGCGCCGCGTCTCGCGTTTCAAAGACACGCCGACAACGACTAGCGGCCGAAATTCTACGCTCCAGAGTCGCTAAACAGTCCTCGAACCGAACGTGTGACCCCACCAATGGATTCCTCGTTCGGAGAGCAATCCATTGGTGGGGTCACACGTTCCGTTTGAGCCCCATTCAGTGACTCTGGAGCTCAAAACGCGTGTGGAATTTTGGCCACCTCCTTCGGTCTTCTGGCAAATCCACGGCGGCCCCGGCCGGCAGATTTATTTCTATTTATTTCAGGGGGTTGGAATCGGTCAGTCGGTCCGTGACTTTGACTGCGCCGTCGGGGTCCGTCCGTCCGAACGGCATTCGTCCGTCCACTGGCCGCGTTGTCCAATCGCGATACACGCGTGTGCCAATGCCCCCCCTCCCCCTCTCGCGGAGCGCTTTAACGTCGCCATTGCCGAAGTGGCGTGACCCACATTTGCCTATTGCAGCTGCATGACATTGTCGGCAGTCAGCGCCAGTGCGGAGCCGAGGCGCCCTCCGTCTCTCTCGCACTCGTGGGGCCCGACCTGAGAGAGGAGAGAGGGAGAGAGAGACGAGAGAGAGAGAGACAGAGAAGAGACAGAGACAGAGACAGAGAGAAGAGAGAGAGAGAGAGAGAGAGAGAGAGAGAGAGAGAGAGAGAGAGAGAGAGAGCACATCCAACTCACCGTCTCTGTCGAAGAACAGGAAGGCTTGTCTGAGCTCGTCCCGCAGTTTGTTGGGGTCCTCTTCCACGATGAACCTGGAGGCGAGTGTGGCGAAGGCATGGAAGTCCAGCTCGCCCGTGGCTGCGGCACACACATCGCTGGTTAGGTTGCACTTAAGTACCTGTTGAGCTTTTTTCTTGAAAAGTAGCGAAGGTAGCAACCCGGATACTCAGTAACTTATAGCCACTTTCTGCATATTACGAACTAATTTCTCAGTTCTTTAACACATTTGTATCGCACTGCACTGGAAAATAGCTCAGTATTGTGGCTGCACAGCGTTCCTCTGAAAGAATTTGATGGCGCAGGGGTGCGCCCAATTTTCCGTGTGGCGCCTTTGAGAGTGGCGCTGTGCTCCAGAAAACAGGAGACCGCCAACGCCAAGACAGGGCGAGAGGGCGCCGAAGCGCCGGCCGGGGTGGCGACCGCACTGCCACGCGCGTCGGTTGGGCTGCCCGCCCCCCAGGCGCTCACTCCCCCCTCACTCTACTCACCCCAGGTGTCCACCTCCTGTATCATCTGCTGGATGGCGATCTTGTTGAGGCCCGCCCCGATCTGCTCCATCATGTCGTAGATCTCGTCCGTGCTGATCTTGCCGGTCTTGCCCTTGTCGAAGCCCTGGAAGACCCGCTCCAGCACTGCAAGCGAGGCGAAGCAAGTGGTCACGACCGCACGACAACAACAACAACAATAACAACACAGCCTAAGTAGCAGCGGCCAGCGGCCGCGTTCCAATCCACAAATCGGTCGACTTACTCTTCACTTGGGACTTGGTGAGCTCCTCGACCTGCAACCGGAAGCGGAAACGGGGAATGAGCCGCTGGAGCGGAGCGGGAAAACGGGGCGTCTTCGAACGGCCGCCTAACAGGGACCGCACAGTGTGCCAGAAGACCGGCGGAGGTGGCCAAAATCCCGGACGCGTTTTGAGCTCCAGAGTCGCTGAATGGGACTCGAACCGAGCGTGTGACCCCACCAATGGATTCCTCGTTCGGAGAGCACTCCATTGGTGGGGTCACACGTTCGGTTCGAGCCGCATTTGGCGACTCTGGAGCTCGAAACGCGCCTAGAATTCTGGCCGCCTCCACCGGTCTTCTGGCCCACTGTGGACCGGAGCCTTGCCCCGGTGGCGTTTTTTCCGGGCAAACTCACCATGGTGACGGCGAAAGGTTATCCCGTCGGTGTCAACGGCTTGGAGGCGCGAGTCAAAGTGGAGGTGGTTCGTATCAATCAGCCCTGCCTGGGGGAGGGAGGAGGGGAGGGTGGGGGGAGGGGCGGGGAAGTGACATGCGAGGGCGCTGCAGGTCACCCGTATAATTAGCGAACCCTACCCTTGACCCTTGGAGGGGCTGTACGCTCATTGACATCGGGGTGGGGGCGCACCTGCCGCAAACAGAGTGGCAGGCTGGCGCCGTGTGTTCCGTGTGACTTCCCTGTGCGTGCTTACCCCTTGAGGGGTACGTTCATAGCGGGACCACCGGGCGCGATGGTTGTACCCCATGGGGGGTACATTCATGGCGGGACCACCGGGTGCGATGGTTGTACCCCATGGGGGGTACATTCATGGCGGGACCACCGGGTGCGATGGTTGTACCCCATGGGGGGTACATTCATGGCGGGACCACCGGGTGCGATGGTTGTACCCCATGGGGGGTACATTCATGGCGGGACCACCGGGTGCGATGGTTGTACCCATGGGGGGTACATTCATGGCGGGCCACCGGGTGCGATGGTTGTACCCCATGGGGGGACATTCATGGCGGGACCACCGGTGTTCCCGGAATGGGCTTAGGCCATGTAGGTGGTTTAATCACCATTATGAGAGAGTTTACTTGTCATAGACTGGGATACCATCACGGAGCGATGGTTGTATAACGCGGATTGGGGCATCATACAGTTATACGAGGTGTACCATGGCCGTAAAACATTGATGGCCCTACTGCAAGGTTCTCCTATAGGACATATTGGGACACTAACAGTTTAACTATGAACATATGGCCACCAAACGTGTTGATTTCTAAAAACGCCATAAAAGAGCGTAATATACTTACAGTGCCAACCTTGGATGGTTTACATGGGTATAGTCACGCTGGTACTCACCGGGGCGATGGTTGTACCCCATGGGGGGTACATTCATCATGCGACCACCGAGCGCGACGTTTGTACCCCATGTGCCTCCTCGAAAATAGAGATTTTTGGAACCCATAGTTGCAGGATAACTGTTAGTAACTGCTCAAAATAATGCCGTCACCCAAACAGTAAGCAGAATTAAGTCGTTATTACGCGTTATCTACCGGGTTTGTTTTTTTTTGGCGGTGGCTGTACCCCGGTACATTGCATCGTGTGGTACATCCATCGTCCCACATCTAGTTGCCGTCAAACGCCCTAGCGTTCTCAAGACCCTACCCTTTCATGCCCTTCATTTGACCTCAACGATTTTTGGGACCAAACTCCCACATTTGGTCAAAAAGTGATTGAATCTCCGAAGGCGGGAAATCGTTTCCCTCGACGGGGCCGTATTCTTTGGAGCTCTCTTCAGCGTGTCGCGGTGCCAGTATTGCCCTCGAGTGGCAACCCACATTTTCACAGTGTGGGGCGCCCCGTGTTGTTTCTGTTGGCAGCATTGGCGGGGCTGCCCTGCGAGGCATCTCAGGCACGACGGGGACCGCCCGCCTGCGCCAGCTACCCTCCAACACTGTCCGGGCCAAACTACTATCTGTGACGTTCCTTTTCGGTTTCAAAATATTCTTATTTCCCACTTGGCTCCCGTCGGTGTAGGTAAACAAGGTGACAAAAAACTATGCTTACTTCAGAAAAAAATGTTTATTTTAAGAAAATTTTGATTAGTACACTAAACATTTTATTTTGTTAGGAATGCATATTAGACAGAAATTTATTCTTGATCAGCTCAACCGCGGCCGATTCGGGTGGTGGATTCTTGTGATGAAATTCCAGCAGCTGGGTTTCTGATGGTGTAGGTGCGGCCTGCGGCGTGCATTCAGTCGTCCCCGCACATGACTGCCATGAACTCTGAAATCCAGAAGAACGCAAAGACTGAGACAAAAGGAAAATAAATGGATTTATCGGATTTAAATGTAAATGGTTCATTTGATGGCTGCGTTTCGATTAATCGATCCATCGATATCCGACCGGATCGGACGCACCTTCGAAGTCCACGGTGCCGGAGCCGTCGGCATCGATCTCCTCGATGATCTGGTCCATGTCCGAGGCCGTGATGGTGTTGTCCAGCTCCCAGAGGATCTCGCGCAGCTGCTCCGTGGTGATGTAGCCGTTGCCTGTCCGACACCCAAATGAGTCACCGGCACACCACAAAAGTAGGCAAAATTTCTCACAATAGGCCAGTGTTAAAAGGGCTGCAGCGGGCAAGTTCTCGAGAGAGATATTGCCTAGTAGGCAGGCTGAGGTTGGCAACCCTTGCGACTCTGGTATATCGTGGGAATACGACTTCCGTTTCTGTTATTTTTCTGAAGTTTTCACGATCATTTCAGAGCTCACCTTCTCTGTCGAAAAGCAGGAAGGCCTGCCGCAGCTCGTCCCGCATCATGGACGTGTCCTCCTCCACCATGAACTTGGCCGCCAGGTTGGCGAACTCCTCGAACTCCAGCTCGCCCGATCCTGTCGGCACCGGCAGTCAGACACCCCGCTCCTCCAAGCCCGCCCCCAACGTGGTGCAACTCACCGTCAGCGTCCGCCTCGGCGATGACCTGCTTGAGCGCGTTCCCGGAGACCTTCTGGCCGAACATCTCCAGGATGGGGCCCACCATGTCCGTGCCGATGCAGCCCTTCTTCTCGGTGTCGAACGAGTCGAACGCCTTCCGCAACACTGTCGGCACGCGCCAAGATTTTTGTTTACTTTTCCTGTGCCATTTCTTTCTATACACATCACTTGGAATTTCGGCACTGCCATGGAGCAATACTCACTCGCGATCTGCTGCCTGTCGAGGTTCTCCTGCCAAGAAAGAAACGGTGATTCGTCACTTTTCTGGGTCGCATTCTGGGACATTGTTGAGCTGGAGCCAGCGCGTCCTCGACGCCGAGGTCCGGGTTTCGGTGACCGGAGGGTCCTCGACGCCGAGGTCCCGGTCCCGGTCCCGGTGACCGGAGGGTCCTCGACGCCGAGGTCCGGTCCACCGGTGACCGGAGGGTCCTCGACGCCGAGGTCCCGGTCCCGGTGACCGGAGGGTCCTCGACGCCGAGGTCCCGGTGACCGGAAGGTCCTCGACGCCGAGGTCCCGGTGACCGGAAGGTCCTCGACGCCGAGGTCCCGGTGACCGGAGGGTCCTCGACGCCGAGGTCCCGGTGACCGGAAGGTCCTCGACGCCGAGGTCCCGGTGACCGGAGGGTCCTCGACGCCGAGGTCCCGGTGACCAGAGGGCCCTCGACGCCGAGGTCCCGGTCCCGGTGACCGGTCCAGCGCGCGCCGTCCTCGCGGGCCTCGCGGGCCTCGCAGTACTCACCATGGCTCGGCCGGCACCTGCCCGTCAACACGCTGCTCTGCCGCGCTGCTCTGCCGGGCGGTGCGCGCTGGCGTGGCTGGCCTGTTGCTGCGCACGGCTGATCTGTCAGCGCTCGCAAAGCTTGCAGCCTGCTTGCAGCCGGCCAGAAATACGACCAACAATCAGCTGTACTTGATTGTTTCAGGGGCAGCACTGCTCTGCACCGCACGGCACCGCACTGCACGCCGCACGCGTTCCGTGCATCGCCAGCCTAAGTGGGCCGGGGCGGCCGGGCGGTCAAGATCGGGGCGGCGTTCGAGGCGGCCGCACAGTGGGCCAGAAGACCGGTGGAGGCGGCCAAAAGTCTAGACGCGTTTTGAGCTCCAGAGTCGCTAAATGGGACTCGAACCGAACGTGTGACCCCACCAATGAATTGCTCTCGGAACGAGGAATCCATTGGTGGGGTCACACGCTCGGTTCGGGTTCTATTTAGTGACTCTGGAGCTCAAAACGCGTTCAGAGTTTTGGCACCTCCACCGGTCTTCTGGCCCACTGTGCGGCTCGCGCCATCAGGTACACGAGAGTGAGAAGACTCCTGTAGCACCGTTCATGGACCAGGCCTTCTGGCATACGCGGTGCCGCGGTGCCGGCAGCGGGGCGCCTGCAGAGCCCAGGACGGCAACCCTCGCTGCATTCGTGCGGCATGGGCGGCCTACCCCTCGCGGGGGAGAGAGCGCAAGGCGCGGGGACACGAACTGAAAGAAACTCGCCAGACTGCTGAGTACAGAACGAGGGACTACAAAACACATTCATTTATTTCATTAGCAATAGTCAATTTAAAAAGAAGAAAAAAGTTGAGTGATATTTGGTAGATGAGATTCGCGATTTGAACAGCCGTTTTTTATTCGGAAGCCCCGCTCTAGTCGTCTCCACACATGACGGCGATGAACTCTGCAGCACACAAAGAGGTCCGGGTTTCACTCCACTGCAAAAGCTGATGCCAAACCGGCGTCCTCGTCGTGCTCTGCCTCACCCTCGAAGTCCACGGTGCCCGAGTCGTCCGCGTCGATCTCGTCCATGATCTGGTCCATGTCCGAGGCCGTGATGGTGTTGTCCAGCTCCCAGAGGATCTCGCGCAGCTGGTCCGTGGTGATGTAGCCGTTGCCCTCGCGGTCGAACAGCAGGAAGGCCTCCCGCAGCTCGCCCTTGATCTTCTCCTTGTCCTCCTCTATGAGGAACCGGGCGGCCAGGATGCAGAACTCGTCGAACTCGAGCTCGCCCGATCCTAACAAGCACACCGACCATTTATTTCAACAATGTTTTCATTTCTTTTCTATGTTAAAATTTTTCCATGTTTAAATTTTTCTTTGTTTAAATTTATTTATGTCTAATTTTTGTCTATGTTTTTTCTTTGTTCATTTTTTTTACAATGTTCAATTTTTTTACGATGTTCAATTTTTTTTACGATGTTCAATTTTTTTGCGATGTTCAATTTTTTGCGATGTTCAATTTTTTCCGATGTTCATTTACGATGTTCAATTTTTTTGCGATGTTCAATTTTTTACGATGTTTAATTTTTTTTAATGTTCAATTCTTGTTTATGTATTTTTAAGTAGTGCAAGAGTGCTCACCGTCCACGTCCACCTCGTGGATGACGTCCCACAGCACCTTGCCGCTCAGCTTGTGGCCGAACAGCTCCAGGATGGAGGACACCATGTCCGTGTGGATGCAGCCCTTCTTCTCCTTGTCGAAGGAGTCGAACGCCTTCCTCAGCACTTGCAGCAAAAGAAAAAAAACATTTCTGGTTTTCTGCTGACCGCACACACTCCTGCTTTTCGAAAAGCGATAAGCGGGCCGCACGCGGACCAGAGAGAGGAGTCCGCGCCACATTATCTCTCGTTTTGACTAATTAGCTTTGCTACATTTTATGTCTACTCACTGCTAATCTGCTCCTGGGTCAGCTTGTCCTCCTGCGCAGCAGTGTGTTTGTCGATGGGTCGGCTCCGACGCGGCGTAGAAACGCAAAGAGTACGAGACAGTCACAAACAACTTGACAAACAACACTATTTTCGGTCGAAATTTCGACTAAAAACGGCCATTCAGATGGAATTCTGGCGAGTGGTTCGCGTTCTTAGGGGCAAGGCGTGCAAACCTGACATTTATTGAGATTTTACGAGTCCGTATCTCGCACAGGGCTAGAGATAAAACGAGCCATGGATATGACATGCATGACTTTTTAAAATCTCCAGCCGTTTACGAGAAGAAACTCCAAAAATCGCTCGAATGAAAGGTAATTTTGCACACTCGACACTATCGTACTTACGCCATCGTCAGCCATGTCCACGCGCGCGTGTGTGTGTGTGTGTGTGTGTGTGGCCGGCAGGAGCGATCGGTACAAAAGTTAGCAGCAGACTGGTGCTCGGTCCTCGCGGGGGGCGCCTCGGGCTGCCGTTATAACCAGCAGTAGCCGACAGTGATCGTTTGCTGTCACAATTAGACGGACAGGCATTTTTATTGCGTGGTCCGTGCCAAGCCGAAGCGCGACGCAGAGCATCGAAGAGCATCGAACGGGCCCAGCCCAATCGGCCGGAGCCAGCCAAAGAGCCAGCGCTGCTGGGACTGGTGGGCGTGTTGGAGGGGTTGCCTAGCCTGCCGGCGCTGCGCTGGCGTGCCGCAGTGAGCCGTGAGGGTAGGCCACCCGTCTGACACGGCAGAACTGGAGCTTATCACACAGCGCTGTGGTCGAGCTTGCATATGTGCAGTGGGAAAGTATTGGAGGCCACCAGGAAGTAAAGACGCCGAGGATAAAATAAAAATTTCATTTATTGACAGGGACTCATTTACACACACCGCTTCAACTCCGAGGCATGCGTGTGTCTTCTCACAGGCACGGCCGGCGAGAGAGGCTTTGCCGGTCCGATGAGGCGACCACGATACACCGGTATCAGTGGTAAAGTGGCAAAAGAACTGACCCCGCCAACAACGCACGCATCGTGTGGAAAAGGCTCTCTAGCGCGAAAGCCTCGGGCCAGTCAGCATGTGGTCGAGCGTCTGTACCGCTTGACCTGCGAGCGGCACGCTCGAGATATAGAGAGAGAACGCTGCGACCGGAATTCGGAAGACTTTGGTAACTAACATCCCACCGGACCCGCGGCATGGTATGGCACATTCTTGACATTTTACTAGTAACATCCAACCAATTCAAACAAGCAATATAATAATTCTTGGCTCGAGATTGACAGTTTTCACAAAAATGTTGAATGGGCAATAGCATAGAAGCCCCTGGCAAGAACGCTGAAAGACTACACTAAATACAGCGATTGGACTTAAATAAATATCACAGCATTTGCTAACGGCCGTCGGTCCGGTGGCCTCAAACTTCCTTCTAACAATTAGCGTTTGGGCGTTTGGTGATGGCGAAACGAACACACTGGCAATGAAGCTTTTAACTCTTACGGCGGGCCTAGCCGCTTGTATCAGATTCAACTTGTTCCCTGTTCCATTTCCTTTGACAAAATTCAAAAATGGAAATCAAAAATGCAAAATCACGCCCGTCCGTCGAAAATCTCACAGCGCAAATGATAACATTATGTAAAACCAATCTTCATTAAGCAACATCACAGACACATTAAAATACAAATTTCATGATTAAAAAATAAATAAATAAAAGTAGACACTGCAGCCGCCTAGGCATAGGCACGGCGCGCCAGTGAAAAAAGTTAAGTTTGCGTCAATCGAGACGATACAAACTGTCGACCCATTAAAATATTCTTAAGGTATAATACTGACTAAGCAGAGTGGAAATGAGTGGGCTATCAAAGTAGTTTGGTCCTGTGAGATACGTTGGTGACGGGCCTCCGTCCACCAGGCGCTCGAAAACGAACAATTAGCTTATGGCAAAAAAAGGCTTTCAAAAAATGGCTTTGGTCGGAGGGGGAACCCCGTACAGTAAACAACAACAACATCTCGAGGGGAAGTCCGCTGCTGCTTCAGCCAGTCTCGATACAACAACAGCAACAACAGCGATGCCGAGCGACACTCGTCGGGAGCGTCAACCCAGTGTCGAGGGCGTGGAAGCCGGGCCGGCCGGTGCTAAACGAAGGTGAGGTTGAAGGACCGATGCTCCGGCCGCCTGGGTTCGGAGCGTCGAACCCAGGCCGCTTCATTGAGCCTGCTTATCTCGCTGGCAATCCAAGGCCGCGGCGTAGAGTAGGCCTCGAGCCTCGCTGTTGCCACCCGTCGGCCAACGGTCGGCCAACGGTCGGCAGCAGCAGGGATCCGCAGGGATCGCTCGGGGATTTGTCAAGGAACGGTGTCTGGTTTTCGGTTCGGCGGATCCGGCGGAGCAAAACAAATGCGGACTTTCTGAGTTGTCTAGTCCTCGCCGTAGGGGGTCCCGTTCAGCTTGAGCAGCATGAAGGCGCAGGCGAGCAGGATGGTGCCCAGCAGGTCGGCGCACGCCGTCAGGTAGGGGATGGTGGAGTTGTCCGGGTCCAGCTTGCGTCGCCACATGAAGTGCGCCAGCAAGTGCGTCAGGTACAAGATGATCATCACCTGGGGGACAGACACACGGTTACTTCAAAATGGCATTAAAATAGAAAAATTTCAAAAACTTGATATTGTTTTTGAAACATTGGCTGAGAGGATTTTGCCGGGGGCTCACCTGTAAGAGCACGACGACCAGGTACGCGACCATGAACTCGAAGGTGATGGTGGAGTGCATGCCGTTGTGGATGTAGTCGGCGATGACGGCGAACAAGGCCTGGCCGGGCAGCGCCACTGCGATCAGCACCCGGGCGGACTTGGCGGAGGGCACTGCAAAAATAGGAAGGAAAATGAATGAGCAAAATGACAACACGGGTGGGCATCCCTGAGTAAACAAAGCGCTTTTCCTTTGCCGTTGGCATTCCACAACAAAAACAGTGTCCTGGTTTCCCAGGCGCACCCTGGATAAACAGGTTATTTTTCCAGGGTGGGCCTGGAAAACCCGGACACTGTTTATGCCGTGTCCTTCCCCCAGATTTTTTTTTTTTTGCGACTTCTGATTTTTCGGAACGGAAGAAAGAGCGTGACAGCGCAGACACTCACCGCCGTAGAACAGGGCCTTGATGGGGGAGACGCACATGGGCGAGTGGTCCGACAGCACCCCCATGACGCTGGTGGAGTGCAGCATGGTGGCGGTGCGCGACGCCTGCACGCTCGCCAGGTTGCCGCCGATGCCGTTCACGATCGGGTTGAACAGCACGAAGCCCTTGAAGTCGCCCACCACCTTGTCGAGGACGATGCCTCCAAGCCTAGAGAGAGAGGAAGTTATTTTAATTTTAAAAAACAAAGTTCAAATTTTAAAAACGTAATTTTTTTAAATCTAAAAACAGCAGCAGAGAGCGGCAAACTGACCCGCTGATGAAGAGTGCGGACAGCACTGGCGTCCAGCCCTGGCGGAGCACGACGGCGGTGTGCTTGTGGCGGAGCGCGAGCCACACCCAGAACGGCAGCATGAGCAGGAAGCCGACGATGATGAGGATGAACACCCACCACATGGTCTCTGCGGGGAAAACAAAGCATGTATTTCAAAAACACGCCCACGCCGCAGCGGGTCAGAAGTGGCCAGAAGACCGGTGGAGGCGGCCAAAATTTTTAGACGCGTTTTGAGCTCCAGAGTCGGTAAATGGGCCTCCAACCGACCGTGTGACCCCACCAGTGGATTGCTCTCCGAACGAGGAATCCATTGGTGGGGTCACACGTTCAGTTCGAGTCCTGCTTAGCGACTCTGGAGCTCAAAACGCGTCTAGAGTTTTGGCCGCCACCGCTCCGCGTTTCCCAGTGTGCCGTCGCCCTGACTGACCGTGGATGAGGAAGAAGGCGTTGGAGAGCGTGCTGAGCACGGACAGCGACACGATGTCGCCGAAGCTGCCGGCCATCAGGCACACCACGTTGTCCGGGTTGATGTTGAGGCGGTGCGAGGCCACGATCAGAGCCATCATCAGGGAGTCTGCGGGGCATGGACAGGTTCAATCAGCCGCCAAGTTTTCCCGCTTTTTTCGCGCAGTTCGGCGAGGGTCCGGGCGGGGCGTGGGAGTCGCCGTGGCGTGCGCGCCGCGCGTCTGATAGCGCCGCCAGGACCGCGACCACCGCGACGACGTGCGTCACCGGGACCACTTGACGGCACGCCCTTCTTGTGCTTGCGCGGCGTGTGCATGCGGCGCGTGCACAATGATTGTACTTGAGCGCGGTGGCGGCGCGGTCCCATGAGTCCGCGACGTGTGTTTTGGGGCCGACGCCGCCGCCGGTATGACTCCGTGTCGCCGGTGTCACTCCCAAATTCCCACCCACTTATTTTTATTTCTCGCGCATAGCATCGCCCCGAGGCGGGGACCGTCCGCAAGCGGCGAGGAAAATTTTACGGTGGACGCGCAGGACGAGCCGAACCTTTCCACAGGTGAAGTACAGCGGAGGAAAACAGCTCCACAGTTATGTATCGTTTGGTTGTTGAACCATGAGGATTTCCCTGTCGTCTCCCTCCTCCGCTCCCTCCCTCTCCTCCCTCCCTCTCCTCCCTCCCTCCCTCCCTCCCTCCTCCCTCCTCCCTCCTCCCTCCTCCCTCCCTCCCTCCCTCCCTCCCTCCCTCCGCCCCCTCATGCAAAAGTCACAGAACCAAAACGTTGAAATAAATATACGACTTATGGTGTAAGCCGAAAAGTCCCTAGTTTGTTGGCGGCTGCCGGCCGTGCTCATGCCGGCCCCTGGATGACCCAGAATCACCGCCACACTGCCATTGTTTGTCACCGTCGCGAGGCTCTGCGCCGTAAAGCTCGTCGTCTGGCGCTCCAGCTCTTTATCTCGCGGCGCCACAGGTAGCGTCGCTCTGTCTCGCTCGCACTCACGGGGCGTCCCGCAGGGGTGCGAGAGAGACGGAGCGACGGGGCACTCGACGGTGTCTCCGCGGCGTGGCGTGGCGGTGGCGGGTAATAGCGCCCTCAAATAATCGGTCACACGTTTCGCTTCGCGCCAACTTCTTTTTCCAATCCGAATCCAGGCGTCTTTTGTAAACGGACAGCGCTACGGGCAGTATGGGCACATGACAAAAAAGTGAGGAAATCCAATTTCAAACCAGGTCGCCTCATGCATGCACAGGCTCGCCGTTGGGGAGATACGGACTGCTCGAGTTGGAATGTCCCGGTAAACATCATGTTGACTTCGCTCTTCTAGAGGATGACGAAGGGGCGGTCTTCCAGGGCAAACGACCCGCCGCTGCATTTCGCAAGGTGTATTCTCAGTGACGGCGGCCGGGCCGCGACGGGCCGCCCCCGCGAGTCGCGTCGGGTCGTCCGGACACACTCGTACGCCTCGCCCCGCCCCGCACAGTGGGCCAGAAGACCGGTGGAGGCGGCCAACGCGTTTTGAGCTCCAGAGTCGCTGAATGGGACTCGAACCGAACGTGTGACCCCACCAATCGATTCCTCGTTCGGAGAGCAACCCATTGGTGGGGTCACACGTTTGGTTCTAGTCCCATTTAGCGACTCTGGAGCTCAGAACGCGTCTAGAGTTTTGGCCGCCGCCGCCGGTCTTCTGGCCCACTGTGCCCCGCCCACTCGCGCCCGCTTATCAAACCCTTCCCTATGAACACGAGAGACACATTCGGCAGCGCCCCCTACTCCTCTTATCACCGACCCACGCGGCAACAGAGTCGCACTGGCCACCGCTGCCCGCGGACCAAACAGAACCTCCGCGTCAGGCCAAATTTATTTATTACTGGCCGGCGGTCGGCTGATCGGATCGGGGGCAGCGCAGGCCAGCGAGACGGATGCAGTGTAGGCGCCCTCCGCGGCACGAGCTGCCGATAGCGCGGCGCGACGCGGCGTGCGCGATGACGTGCCACAGTGGGCCAGAAGACCGGCGGAGGCGGACAAAACTCCAGACGCGATTTGAGCTCCAGAGTCGCTAAATGGGACTCGAACCGAACGTGTGACCCCACCAATGGATTGCTCTTGGAACGAGGAATCCATTGGTGGGGTCACACGGTCGGTTCGAGCCCTGTTCAGCGACTCTGGAGCTCAAAACGCGTCTGGAGTTTTGGGCGCCTCCACCGGAGGGTCGACGGCGAAGGGAACTCACCCAGCACGAAGCACGCCGTGGTGGCCGTGGTGACGGCGGACGCGGCCATGAGCAGGGCGTGCCGGTAGTCCGGCAGGCCGTCCATGAACACGCTGACGGTGATGGCGAAGGCGGCCGCCGTGAGCGACGCCACGATGGACTGCACCTGCACCAGGGCGATGTTGCTCACGAACAGCTTCCAGCAGTTCTTCCACGTCTTGAGGTTGCCGAGGTTGGCCTGCGTGCACAGCCTGGAGGCCAGGCACGTGTCCAGGTTGCCCTTGAGCCCCACCAGCGACGGCACCAGGATGAACAGGGCCTTGATGTGCTTGAACACCTCCCAGTCCTCCACCGTGCCGAGCAGCAGGCCGGCGCCGATGGTGCCCACGCCGGCGATGAGGAAGGGGACGGTGACCTGCAGCGACAGCCAGTACCACGTCTCCTTGGGCGGCGAGTACGGCTGGTACGGCAGCAGGTCCGTGGCCGTGACGGTGGACGACATGGACTGCAGGGAGCCCACGCCGGGGGAGGGCGGAGTCTTTGGCTGCAGCGGGGGCGCCTGGCCCCCCTCAGCCAGGATCTCGGCACTCGACCCCATCACGCCGTAGCCAAGGTGCAGCTCCGTATCCATATCTGGAAGCAGAAGGTCGCGGGTTCAAATCCCAAGGTCCTCGTAGCTTTTTTTAAGGCACCGAATAGCCTTTACGAAATTCGGAAAATCGGTGCACTTTTCAAACAGGTATAACTCTGTGTGATAGACTAAAAATGAAACGCTCAGCTCTTAATTAGCAATGTTTTTTCTTGCAAATTGGCGCACTTTTTGTTGGTCGATGGGGAGGGCGCGTCCGTGGCTGGTCGGTAGGCCTGGCCGCCCGCCTCGCCCCGCCCCGCCCCGCCAGGACGCCATGCCCGGCTAGGGCGTGCCCTATCTCCCTTGTCAATGAATCGCATACCAGACGAGGCTGAGGGGGAGGGAGGGAGGGGGGGCGCCTGGGCGACGGTGCCGGGCGCCGTGCCACAAAGACATCCATCGGTCAAGAATACACTCGCTATCTCGCTCGCTCCGCTGCGCACGGTCGTCCCTTCTCTCTCCGTCTCTCTCTCTCTCTCTCTCCCCGGGATGATCCTTGGTCGGTCAGTGTCCTGCCGCGCCTCATACATACATGCACATGCCGATCTCGCCGCGGTGGTGTAGGGTTCCAAGTCTCTTTTTATTTTTTCGGGGGAAGAGAAACGCTTTGCTGTCACGGTTTAAACGGCACTTTCCACAGGGCTTATCTAACGCAGACGCGCAGCCGATCCGCGCGGGGCGGCACACTGGTGGCTCACTTGGTGGCTCACTGGTGGCACACTGGTGGTACACGGGTGGTACCTGGTGGTACACTGGTGGTACACTGGTGCGACGCGGCCAGGGCGTGACACCATGATCCAGTGCGAGGCATATCGCGCGCGGCTCCTGTCACGGGTATTTCGAATTTAAAACCAAGAGCGTTGCCATGAAAGATCGTTGCTACCACATTAATTACCAGAGTATTGCAGCGTCACACAGTGGGCCAGAAGACCGGTAGAGGCGGCCAAAACTCCAGACGCGTTTTGTGCTTTAGAGTCGCTAAATAGGGCTCGAACCGAACGTGTGACCCCAGCAATGGATTCCTCGTTCGGAGAGCAATCCATTGGTGGGGTCACACGTTCGGTTCGAGGCCTGTTTAGCGACTGTGGAGCTCAAAACGCGTCTAGAGTTTTGGCCGCCTCCACCGGTCTTCTGGCCCACTGTGCGTCACAGTACGTCACAGCTCAGTGTCGAACCGAGCCACCCTCTGGACCAGGAAGAGCCAGTGCGACAAAGCCTGGCGTGCCTGCCGTCTCATTCAGAACCAGTGCTCCGTCTCTGTCGCACCCCCTGCGAGCCTGCGGGCCGCCCCACGAGTGCGAGAGAGACGGAGCGACGGAGTTTCGGAACCGGCCGCCTTGCCGCCCCCCATTTCTTTTGTTCCTGCCACTCCCTCATAACCAGGCGGCCAACCGGCGCCGGGGCGGCCGAGGCGTGGGCGGCGCGTCGACGCCGAGGTCCCGGGGATGCAATCTCGATCTCAATCAGTGCTGAGCACCTGCCGGCAGTGTAGTGGCGGCACCGATAACCGATAGGCCGCCGGCCCTAAGGACATCGGTCCCACACTGTGGTGCCACCGGCCACGGCCGCCATACGGGGCGTTCCGCGACCGCCGGCGCTTTGCGTTTCCGCGATCTGTTGTCTCTCTCGCGCCCCTGTGGGGCGCCCCACCAGTGTGGGAGAGACAGAGCGACCGCGGAGCCAGTCCATATGCATCTCTCGACCAACCTTTCGACCCTCCCTTGCCAAATTTAGGCAAGAGACAGCGCCACGCACAGTGGGCCAGAAGACCGGCGGAGGCGGCCAAAACTCTAGACGCGTTAGCTCCAGAGTCGCTAAATGGGACTCGGGCCTCTCCTCGTTCGGAGAGCAATCCATTGGTGGGGTCACACGTCCCGTTCAAGCCCTGTTTAGTGACTCTGGAGCTCAAAACGCGTCGAGAGTTTCGGCCGCCTCCACCGGTCTTCTGGCCCACTGTGCCACGCCATGCCTGTGTCGACTCACTTCTCTGCACGTAGGTGCCCCTGAGGTCCGGGAGGTCCAGGCCGGCCGCGGTCTTCCTGCTGCCCCGCATGGCTGTCGCCAAGGCTGTCGGCCTGGTCGGTCGGTCGGGTGGACGACGGGACGGCACATGCACAGGTTGCGGCGTCGACAGGCCGCCGCGGGTGCGCCACTCACATTGGCCCTTACAGTGGCGCGTATCGCCGGCGCCGCCACCGGTCGTGGCTCGTACCGTCGGAAAAGTACCGTTCGTCCGTTTCGGACGGTCCCGCGCATCCCATAAACTTGAGCGGCGTCACATGCGGTCACATGTCCTGCCACGCCTTCATATCAGTTTTTTGTGTGTGTGGGTGTCTCCGAAGTCTCGAACCCTCCACATTGCATCAGCCGGCACAAGCACAGCCCAATTTGCGGGCAGCGAACTGCTGGCCCGACTGTCCATATCTCGGGCGGCGGAGTGCGGCGGAGTGCGGACTGAGGAGGCCTCACACCACTTAAACTGTGTGCAACAAGTAGCAGGCCGTCGTCAAGCCAATCGGGAGACGCGTGCCGACGGACGGGCAGACAGACAGACAGACAGACAGACAGACAGACAGACAGACAGACAGACAGACAGACAGACAGACAGACAGACAGGACGTCACGTCGCGAGCCTGTCTGGGCACCCAGACGACCACAGTGACGACGTTGACGACGGCGGTCAAGGATAGGCCGGCGCTAGGTCAGAGACGCGAGGTCAAAGACGGGGTCGTGGACGAGGTCGCGGCCGAGGTCTCCGCCAGGGCGGCGCGGCGGCGGCCTCCGCCAATGTCCAATGTCTGCTTCCAGTGCGGGGCGCGCGGACTGTAACTGCCGCGCCCGACGCCGCGGATGGCCGCTTCTCGCGAGTGTCTCGCACGCCGCGGTCGCGAGGCGCGGAGCGCGGAGCTTTGCTGCATCAGCTCTTGAAACGGGAGCAGCGCGGGGCAGCGGCCATGCGTCATGTTTCGCAGCCAGCTGATGACCGCCGTCTGCCTGGCGGGCCTGGCGGCGTGCCTGGCTGCCTGACGGCGTGCTCCGCGTGCTGGCCGCCAGCCTCGGCTGTCCGGCCGCCACCACGTGGCGGCGCAGCGCCGGCACGTGACAGCCGACGGCCAGTCGGCCACGAGGAAACGCCGGTAAAAACGTCAAAAGTGGCGGCGGGTTCCCTGCGGTTCGAAGGCACCGACGCGGCGGGCCGTCGAAGCGCCATCGAGGCACCGCGACGTCGCGTGGGAAAGCGGCGAAGAAAGCCGCAGGGCACACCGCAAAAAAAGGGAACTGTCGCACGCGACGACCGGGCCGGCACACAGTGCTTTGCAGCCATCAAGTGCTTCGTCTCGTCGTTTCCGTCACTCGGCCGTCTCCCTCGCGCCCCGGCCGGCCCGCGTGGGAGCGAGAGAGACAGAGCGACGGCCGTTCGTTCGCAATCGGCCTGCATGTCGGCCTGCATGTCGGCGGCAATTGGCCCGAAGCTCCGCCAGCCCCGCCAAGTGAAGCTAATGAATCCGCCAATAAGGGCCGCGACGCGTCGCGACGCCACCCAGCGTCCTCTGGGCCTCGGGCCGAATGCAAGGAAAAGGCAAAAACAAAACCAATTGGCGGAGCGCTTCGGTGGCGTTTCAGTTTTGCCGTTTTGAGAGAGACGTCCACGCCTTATCGCTCGGCGAGATTTAGGCCGAACGCAACCCCAGAAAACAGAGGGGGACAAAAAACTACTTTCTCGGCCAATCGGAGTGCCGCATGGCAACGCGCTCTATCCTTGTCCCTCCCCCGAACCGTGCCGCACCGCCAGATTGCTGTGCCGCGGCGGCTCGCGTTGCACCACCACTGTAACCGGCAACCGGCCTGGCGCGGAACGGAGCGGAGCGAAGAGCGAAGCGGACGACCGCGCCGAAAACCGCCAAACCGGCATACCGATAAGCGGAAGTCAGAGTCACAAAGGAAAACGCGACTGTCATGAAAAGCAACACACACACACACACACACACACACACACACACACACACACACACACACACACAGAGAGAGAGAGAGAGAGAGAGAGAGAGAGAGAGAGAGAGAGAAGAGAGAGAGAGACGCTCGTGTCGGCTGGGTTGCCTACGCTACCAGGGGCGCGCCGCTCTATGACCGCGCTGTGCAGGTGGTCTGGGCGGCCGGACACAGGGGGACCATTTCGTACCATTTCGTCGCTCTGCCTCTCTCGCACCTGGACGGGACGCCCCGTGAGAGCGAGAGAGACGGCGGCAGAGACTCACCCACCGCGGCACGGGCAGGCCGCACACCAGGTGGCTCCGTCAGGGCATCGGGCTGGACTGCAGAGCGCTGCAGAGCGTCGCCCACGGCCCCGCGGCCCCACGGCTATCGCGGAATCGTATTATAAAGCGCGATGCGCTCGCCGGAGATAGAGGGGAGGGGAGGAGGAAGAAAGAGAGAGAGAGGGGGGGGAGGGACGGGAGCGGCTCAGGTGAAGGGAGACCCACGTGGGGACCACGTGGGCCCCAGACAGGGGCAGGCCTGCACGCAGGGGGTTCCCCTGGCGGTATCGGACGGCTTGTCTCGAGTTTCCTCGTCGCGTTTTCGCGGCAACAATGACAAGACAATGGAAGGAAAATCGACGCAAAGCCGTTCCCTGGGGAGCAGCACGCGCATTAATGAGATAAAAGTACAGTGTACCCGCCTGCTGCGACATCTTTCATCTTTGCATCAAGTAGTGGCCACTCTGCTGTTCCCGCCATTTTTATACACATTTTTATCGCAGAAACAATTTATCTTGCTAATTTTGTGGTGCTAACGCTGCTAAATTGAGATAACCGCGTTAGAACCCCGTTACTTTTGCTGTTCGCGTCATCTTTCAACCAAATAAAATCTTTCGCAACGTGTGGTAACTTTTATTTTAAAATGAAACATGGGTTTCTGTTGGTTTTCTCGTCGGCTTCCGCGACGCCTCGCAACATCCGACTCTGGATTGGCCGCGCTTTCCGCTCCACTCTAAGTTTAATCC